TAACAGTGTATACGATGAAAGGCCACCCCCCAAAAAATTCCAAATCATCTAGAGGCCAGTACTGTGCCCTGAAATCAGCAGGGAAAAAATGGGGAGCCCTGCATTTAGATGTGATACAATCTAGCAGAGACCCAGAAGGGCACACAGGGATGTGTGAGCAGCAAGCCTGGGTGGTTAGTGGGTGATCAGTTGGAGCTGAGCCAATACCCAAGGCTGCTGATACATCTGAAAAGCCATACCAACTATAGAGGGGTAGGTAGAAGAACAATGTCACCCCAGGGAGGCTACCACATCACTAGTCCTTGTCCAAATGGACAACACAATTAGTAACCGGCATGAGGAATAGCAAGTTAGGACCTCAGGAGCTGTGTACATCGAGTTTACCTTCAACAGGGTGCCATGGTAACTGCCTTTAAAAACTAAGAAAGCTGGGCCCTCCTTGGTGGTGCAGTGGGTTAAAGCACAGCGCTAAGAAACTAAAGCCACTTCAGCATGAGCTCAATCCCCACCCCAGAGCTGACCCACATAGCACAGCAGACCTCTCCTGACCCACCCCTACTCCCCCCAGCAGTGTACTCCGTCGATCTCCCTGTTCTGCTCCCCACTCTGTCTCTGGTGAAGCCTCTCAACATCCCTGCACCTCTAGCCTATACCCCACTTCTGTATGCATCAATAAACAAATCTTTAAAAAAAAAAAAACACTAAGAAGTTTCCATAGGGCAGTGTGTGTTGCTGCATCTGTATTTAAAGGCAGAGGCCACTGCAGATCCCAAGGAACACAGCTGCTGGAGGGAAACAGCACTCCCGCTGCCTCTAGAAATGCTGGTGAGGTGAAGTTTGAGTATCAGCAGCACCTTTAATCGGCCTTTGCTATCTGTTCAAGGCCACGACTCTACTATGATCCCACCATGAGTGGATCATCTAAGAGACTGCATATGGATGGCGGTGAAGGGGTTGACAGAATCTCCTCCCAACCAGCCAGCACCTCCTGCACTACTGGCACTGTGAAGGCACCTGCTTAGCTCTCCTGGGGAACTCTCAACACCAGCGAAGCCCCCCTGCCAGGGAGGCCTCTCTAAAGCTCTCTGCTCCTACAGAGCCAATGCTGTATGCCTAGCCGCCCAGAATCATACTCTGGCCCCTCTTTGATTCTGCTTTTATTTTTCTAAATCCAGAAACCCAACCCTAGGGAGCTATTCCTCAAAATATCTCCCCATTTCCAGGACAGCTCAGTTTCCATAGCAACCCTTGACTAAGCCCCCACCTCATGGTTTGGAAACTGTTATCCACTTCTTCCCACCTCTGTCCATTTTTCCTTTCACCCTCCATTCTACACCCCATATGCTATTTCTTGTCGCCTTATTGTCCTTAAAAGAAACTTTCATCTGTGTCTCTAATGCATATATGTGTGCGTGTGCATGTTGTGTGTGTGTGTGTGTGTGTGTGTGTGTGTGTGTGTGTAAGAGAAAAAAAAGAAAGGGGAACTGGCTGAGCTGCCCTCAGATCAGATTTAGACTCCGGGGCTAGGTGGGAGTAGGGAAGCATGTTCCCCGCACACAGCACAAAGGATGTCCAGACATCTGTGATCAGTAACCTGGGATCCAGCTGGAAAATTAGATTCCAAGGGGCTGACAGAGAAATAGAGCAGGGAGCCAATGTGGACAGCACTGCAGAGGGCAGATTCTCTGACCACATCAGGTATCCCTGGAGAACCTGCAAGAAGGTGGGGCTTCCTAGTTGCAGGGACCCTAGCGCTGTCCACCCATTGGCCAGAAGTGGGTCCATACAGATTTGGGGAGACATCTTCTGTTATAGTGACGAATGCAAGCGGAATCAGTATATCCCAATTAATTAGACTTCCAGATGTAGGAAGGAAAGCGACGCAAGACCCTGTGAGAAGTCAAGGGGTAGGCCCTTGGCCCGGGAGTTTAAAGATGGGGTTTTGTAAACAGGATCAAACACTTTGTTGAAAACACTTTTTTCTTTCTTTAAAAAAGTAGTTACTTGGCTGCGAATGCATCATTTTCTCCTCTGGCTATGAGTCTCAAGTATCTGCAAATATGCATTGCATAATGATGGTCTGGCAGACCACAAAGTCACGTCTTAGAGCCTTTCAGGGATGGAAAGGAAGAATTATGAAAACAGGACCACAAGGTTTTCTCTAGTCCAGGGTTTCATTTATCAACTCTGTGCCTGTTAAAGGAAAAAACAACAGGATCTCAAGGTAAACTTGTAGGTTCAGGGAAATCTGACTCTTAGTCAAAAGAAAACCCAGACCCCCTGGCTTTCCCGACTTCCTAATTTAATTTGAAGTGGGAAGATCTCTGTGTGTCTCCCACTCTGTACATGTAGGAGGCTACTAAGGCTTCCATCTCAAGACTTCATTGTTTTAGGCTGATTTTCCATTCTCCTTGTAGATTTCTCACTATCCGGATGTGGGTCTGGGGCAACACTGGTTTGTAATAAGTGGTGAGATGTCAAGAGCACTAGACTGAAAATCAACTTGCTGGCTGCTGCTGTGGCTGATTCCAGCCAGTGGCCTGGACTCAGTGCACCCTGCAGGGCACCATGAGACCCTCATCTGACGTCACAGCGAGTGGTCACAGACAGTGGCCGCTGTCCTGGCTCCCACTGACAGGACGTACGGCTCCATGGCTTAGGCCGCTCCTTGGTTCCATTGCCACATCCTCACACTGACTAGCCTGGAGCTGAACGCAGGGGCCCGATATTGTTATGGACCTTCCTTTGAGGAGTGGAGGAAGAAATCAGCGCTGCTCCAGGGCTGAGGCCTCAGTGACTGGGGAGGAAGCAAATACCCCACCCCAGACAGGAGCCCCCAAGAGGGACCTGCAGGGCCTGGGGAACGTTGTTTCTACAAACTCCTGACAGCTCATCCCTTTATGATTTCTCATGAGATTTAGAAATGCAGTTTCTGAACTAGCCCGTGTTCCTTTCCAGATATTTGTTTTTCTTACAAAAGGATTCCCAAGAAAAATCAACAGGATGCTATTGCCAGTACTGAAGTTTCCAGGTTTCCTCCCATCTCCTTAGCAGAGATGCTTCGCTTTTAGGCCTGTTTCCTTTCCTCATTTTCTGTTCCCTATGCTCTCTCCTCTTACTTTTTGCCACCTCCCTCTTCTGTTTGATTTTGCTCTCTGTTATCTTCTTCCCTCCTCTTACGCCATTACGCTCCTCTGAACTCTCTCTCTCTCACACACACACACTCACACACACACACACACACACACACACACACACGGTGTGAGCTGACTGTTCCTTGTCCTGTGGTAAGCAAGCTAGGCTTTATGTCCTTTTAGAAATGGAGTTGGTTGCTGATGCTCTATCATTGACCGTAAAAAGTTATAAAAAAGTCCTAATCAGCCAGGACATGTACCAAAAGGCAATTTCCATTGCAAAATCTCTTCCCACCTCCCAGCTCCGGGGGTCCTCAGAACCATCCAGAGAGCCTTAGGGAGGGAGCAGCTTCCAAATTAATGTGAAGGTTGGAGGGGTGGTGGCTCCCAGCAGAAGGAAGGAAACACTGAAACAGGATATGAGATAGAAATCTTCCCTCCGCCTAGTAGGCCCAGCTTTCCACTCTGCCTGTAAGGTCACCTACAGCAGTTTGAAAAGAGACATTTCCATTTTCCATAGAAAACAAAGCCAAGTATAAAAGAAGAAAAGATGTTCAGTCTCCTGAGAAAAACCATGGCTATTTCTATCATGAAATGGGGGGAGGAGGAGTCTGTCATCAGTAACCATGAGAAAAGGAAAACTGAGAAGATGTGAGGGTCACCCAAGGATCTGGAAGGCCTCCAGAGGGTGTCACACACCAGTGCTGAACAAAGGAATGGCCTCCCACCCACTCAGAACAATCACCCAGACTCAAGCCTCGAAAGAGGATTCAGCCTCAATCTAGATCTGTTCTAGGCACAACAAAGCAGGCTCAGTCTCCCCCAAACATACCCCCAGAAGATAGCCCATGCCCTGGGAAGCAGGGGAGGGAAGATGCAAGATCAAGGGATGTGACCCCATCCCTGGGAGCAGGATGCTGGCATCCCACTGAGCTTGACAGGCCCACCCAAGAGGGGCTCACAGCAAATACGGGGGTGGCCCTGTTGTCTACTGTATCCACTTTGCTCTCCTGCACGATGCTTCACCCACCTTTACCCCAAATGCTGACTTCACACCCCATCAACCTTGGTTCGTTTGTACCTGCACAGGACAAGATTCCCTCCTACTCTTGCCAAATCCCCCCTCCAGCCAGTTTCCAGGCCCATCTGAGCTTCCAGGAGAATGCACAGGCCTTGCCCAGCTTCTAGAACACCTCAGGTTAACTAACAGGTGACTGCTTCCCCAGGGTATCTCCCCCAGACAAGGGGCCTCACCACCCCAGCACGGACAGGCAGACATGTACAAAGGTCTTGGGGGCTGGGGGGATTAATAACATCTCGAGACCAAGTGCTACTCCCTCAAATGGGTGTAACACTACTTACCTTGCAGCAAGTATCAGGTGGACTAAAGGAGAGATGCTTGTAAAGTACCCACTACGGTGCCCAGTAAATCTTTGATAAATGTTGGTTACTTTAATAATTGATGGTAGAGTTGAAAGGCAAACCCAAACTCTTCCATCTAATGTAGAGGAATATGCATTTCCAAATGTACAACATGTAAGCATCTACTTTAGTAAATATCATAGTGAAATAAAGTAAAATTGACCCCATATCTACGTGTTAACATCAAAAACCAGAAGCCCAGAAAGCGCTGATTAAAGCTTAAAAGAAAAACAGAAATGCACTAAAAAGTCATTCGCTATTTGCAGTTTGAATGATTTTTCCATTGTAAACTGGCCTTCTGTTGGGATTTTTAATATTTATAAAATAGTAGTTCTCCTTGGCACAGTGGCAGGGCTGCAGTGAAGTTGACGAGGTTGTTTACCCACAAAACATCTCAGACAGGTGTATGGCATGCGTGTGGAATCTGCTCAACAGTAACCTTACCTTTGACCCAATGAGCGTGTAGAGCCACTGAATGGTTTCATTGTGGTTTATTACTCCATTCATCCCATCCACATACAACATGATCTGGCCCAACGCTACAAACAAAAGAAAAAGAAGGAGACATTATGGTGTTTTATGTAAATATAAGTCTTCAAGAGTCAGTATGTCGACTGGGTATTTACACAATAAGTACATGGTATATTGGAAGCCAAATCTGAAGAGAATTTCCTGAGCTCGGAATTTGCTAAATCTCATTTCACAGTGAAAGTGTTGACCTCATCAGGACAGACACAGTCTATTCCTGTCATCTACAAGATGTGATTAAGGCACCAAATCCGGTGATTGCTGTTTGTGCGCCTCTATGTATAAATGCATGTTTTTCTGTTTCTATATCTGTGTGTAGCCCCAGACGTGGCAAAGATATCACTGAGGTGGTGGCTGAGCTGTGGCCTCCCATTGGGGCTAAGGGAATCAGAGAGACCTCCAGAACAAACTTGTGCTGCAGGCTGTGGCCACAGAGGTCCCAGGTTGAGTGGAAGCCACCTGAGCAAATACAATTTAAATTATTTTGACAAAGGATAAATATGCATTAAATATTTTTAATTCCTTTGAAAAGTTCTCTGATGTCAGAAATCATTTTTAAAAATCATTTGCTAAACATCAACTCTAAGAAAAAAGTTGCCACTTACTGTCATTATTCATGAAAAATTATAAGCCATGTTATTGTCTTTTTTTTTTTTTTTAAGATTTATTTACTTATGCATACAGAGCTGGGTACAGGCCAGAGGTGCAGGGGAGGCGAGAGGCTTCACCAGAGACAGAGTGGGGAGCAGAACAGGCAGAAAGATGAATTACACTGCTGAGGGAAGCGGAGGGCAGGTCAGGAGAGGTTTGCCGCACCATGTGGGTCACTTCCGGGGCAGGGATTGAACTCATGCTGAAATGGCTTTCACTTCTCAGTGCTATGCTTTAACCCATTGCACCACCAGTTATTGCCTCTTTTTTTTTTTTTTTAACAAATCACTCAAAAATTTCTACTTCCTTAGTACAAAATTATTTGGACTCCAGATAATAAACAGAAGTTGCAAACTCTATAAGTAACCTTCCTTAAATTATGTTCAACCTAAATCTTATTTCACCAAGAGTGAAGCAGCATGGCATTAGCAATTACACAAAACATTTTTTTCTGCCAATGGCAGGATATCTCATTTTTACAAAATTGTCAAATAGTACAGTAAGAATTAAGAGTAATTCATTACTCCATCATTTATGATAACTATTCTTTATATGTTGATATGTTTTCTCATATTCTTTCTTTGGCACACACACACATGTTAATACATAGGTTGTAGAAAGCAGTTTATATGAAATGGTATCGACTGAAAAGAGAAAACCACAAAATAGTGCATATACACTAATTTGAGGCATACAAATGTCAATGTGTGTGTGAGATGTTAGAAAGCCTATTATGAGCCCTCCCTGGTGACGCAGCAGGTTAAAGCACAGCACTGAGAAGCTAAAGCCACTTCAGCATGAGTTTGATCCCCACCCTGGAGGTGACCACATGGCACGGCAGACCTCTCCTGACCCACCCGCTGCTCCCCTTAGCAGTGTACCTCGTCAGTCGGCCTGTTCTGCGCCCCACTCTGTCTCTGGTGAATCCTCTCACTGCCCCTGCTCCTCTGGCCTGTACCTCAGTTCTGTATGCACAAATAAATCTTTTTAAAAAAAGCCTATTATTATCCCCTATACAAAAAAAAAAATAATCAAATAACAAAGTCACACAATCTGTCGATTAAAATTATACAGGCTCCTAAGTATGTAAAAACTCAAGGTTTGGAAAATGGACCATATCCTTGATACAAGCAGTATAATTAGGGAAATAATATTCTATTTAATGGTGAGACACTGTAGCCATTCCAACTAAAATTAAGACTGGTTTTTAAATGATACCCAGTAATTCTAGGAGCACTTAACATCACTACCAGAATTTCAGACAAATTTAATAATGAGGAAATAGTGAGTAGGACAATTAGAAATGAATACATAATTTTGTCATTATTTACAGTACTGGAAACAATTTTATCTACAGAATTTATGAAAAGGCCATAATTATGAGCACTTTCTCATTAAGATATATATTCACACACAAAAGGACAGGAAAAGGACAAATATTAAGTGTTATGATAGGAACTTGTTCTTTGGATATATTTTTTCCTACTTTTTTCTTTTCCCCAAGTTCTCCATGAGTATCTGTTACTTTTACAATGGAAAAGTAAATTAAAAAGAACTAAATAAAACTGCCTAATATAGTGTTTAGGGGGCTTTTATTCATTTTTTAGATTTTTTTTTTACTGGGTTATCTCTCTCAGCACCCGCCTCCTCCTTCAGAAAGCAACAGCACGCAATTCAAGGAGGAGCCCTGAGAATTCAGCTAACCTGTCATGTGACACCCCCCCCTTTTCTCTTTTCTTTCCCCCTTTTCCCCAAATAGGCAGGTCTCTGAGAAAGGGGAGTATGTGCCACCCTCCTTTTCTCATTTGACTTCTATTAGAGCAGCAATCCAGAGGCAGATTTTAGCATCACCTTCTAAATGAGCCTTTCTGCTCAGAATGAGATGTGAACTCCGAATCTAGAAAGTCCATTCAGGGGACCCTCCCCCATAGCTGAAAATCCAAGTTTAAGGTCTCTATCCTAACATCTCAGGCTCTGGTAATGCAAAAGTCCCAGTTCTGCTACAAATGGGCAAGATAACCTACGATTCAAAAGCTACGTTGAATTTCTCTCTGTTTTCTGTCCATGTTTTCCTCCAAAACTATGAATGAATCACATGAGAAGTTAAGCCCCCAAGAAAGTTCATGTCTAATGGAATTCAAGTTTCTGATTGCACTTTGTCATATCTTGGTCATCAATAGCGGAAGCACTAGGTAGGTCTTCTCTACCTTAGCCCTGACGCTAAAGCACTACGTCCTGTAAAACCTACTGCAGACACAAGATGGCGCTAAATAGATTCAAGAGGGTTAATGTACTTAAAACAGCTGCAAAAATCCACCACTCTAAATGCAGGGCTGTGAATTATATTCACACGGGGGTGGGAGTGGGGGTTAGATATTAAAAACATAAATTATATATAATATGTTTATACAGCATATTTAATATATATAAAGCTCAGGTTTTGGAAGTTACGGAAATTAGTGATTTGCATTTTCAAGATGGGAATGTCAGAGCACAGTGGTAACAGCAGCGTGATAACAAATACCCGGGTGTTTGTTGTTCTGCCACTCATGGCATTATTAACATTAATAAGAACATTAGATGTACTTATTTTTGAGTGTTTCAGCTTCCTTGTCTCAAAAATTAGTTGAGTATTATAGTACCCATGTTGCTGAGGTGCTGTATTAAGACTGTAAGTGGTCGATAAACATTAGGTATAAAACCGACCTCGGTGAAGCCCAACATCCATTATCTACTGCACAGATACGCGTGAACCAGTCTGCATGAGACAAAGTGGTGCGCCAGCCTGGAGGCGGACCTCACTGGCGTGGGATGAGGTGGGAAGCTCCTTGCCTAACCCAACGTTGCGAAGACTTTCTGTATTTTAGTTCCATCAGTTTATAGTTTTACCTTAAGATACAGGATTCATTTGAAGATGATTATTGAATCAAGTGTGATGGGCTTTTTTCATACAGATGTTCACTGACCTAACACCACTTGTTAAACTATCCTCCATTTCACTGCTTTCATGAATTTTCCAGAAGCCCTTTAACTGTTTGTGTCATCTGGTTCGGGTATTTTATTCTGTTCCACTGATCTGTCCATTCCTTTGCCCACAACATACTATCTTTATTAGTGTACCTTTATAGTAAATGTTATGGCCTTATGAATTTTTCTTTGTCATTGTCTTGTTAACTTTTTCTGTTCTGATTTTTCCCTGTTTCTTTGATTTCAATTTTCATATCTACTCTAGTATTTCCCTGTTTTTTTTAAATTATTCTAGTTTCTTAAGGTGTTTATACTTGTTTTTTTCTAATACAAGCATGTCTATAAATTTCCCACCATATATCATTTCAATTGCATACCATAATTTTTTTTTCATTTAGTTTCAAATATATTTTTTTAAAGATTCATTTATGTATACAGATTGGGGTACAGGCCAGAGGTGCAGGGGTGGTGAAAAGCTTCACCAGAGTCAGAGTGGGGAGCAGAGCAGGCAGAGTGATGAAATAAACTGCTGAGGGGAGCAGCAGCCAGAGAGGAGAGGTCTGCTGAGCCACATGTGTCACCTGCGGGGTGGGGATTGAACTCGTGCTGAAGTGGCTGTGGCCAGCTTGCAGTGCTATGTCCTAAACCATTTTGCCACCCGGGAGGGCCAGTTTCAAATATTTTCTAATTTTCATTTGAAAATTCCTTTTCAACTGATGGCTTATTTAAAAATATGGAGTCTAACTTCTAAAAGTTTGTGTTATCTTTTTTTTTATCCATTACTGCTTCATAGTTTAATTCCATTATGTTCAGAAAACATGCTAAATTTTGTAACCTTTTTACAACCCAGGTTAATCTATCTTGGTGAATGTTTTATACATTATTTGAAAAAAATATGTATTCTGTAGCAGGGTGGTATGCTTTGCAACTGTCAGTTAGATCTAATCAGTTGATGGTGGTACTCAGTTCCTCTATAGTTTTGTTGATTTTCAGTCTACAGTTCTATTGATTACTGAAAGAGAAATGTTAAAGTCACCAACTGTAGCAAAGGATTTTTCATTTATTTTGTTTGTTTTCAGACTTTATGTATTTTGAAATTCTATAGATTTTTCATTTCTCGATGAACTGACCTTTTATCATTATAATGTTTTTTATTCCTTTTACTATAAGTCTGCTTTCTCTAATGTTAAAATAACTTTCTTTTGATTACTGTTTGCATGTTATTATTTTTGTATCCTTTTGCTTTTAAAGTACCTATAACATTATAATTATAGTTGTAGGCAATATTTAGTTGGGCCTCATTTATCCATCCTGATCAGTTGTCCTTTAATTAATATGATTAGGCCAATTACATTTAATGTAAATATTGGTGCATCTGAGCTTCAGTGTATCA